CAGCGTGTATTATATTGGGGATAGATTTAGTATCGATAAAATCAGCAACAATAAATCGCCATATCTATATATAAGCGGAGAACAAGGGATGCCCTATAGCGTATCGATAAAAAATAAATGGAACGCCCAACAGTCGATGCGATATGTCGGGATTAAGATGCGAACATCAATAAGTAGCTTTAGGAATTCTCAGCACACCGGCATAAGGAAGGCGGGAAAAAATTGAAAGGAGACTCAAATATGTCGTCAGAATATTAAAAGGCAAAATACTGAATAATGCAACGACTGACTCGCGAATGATATAAGTGTGATACGATTGACGAAGCTATTTACAAGCCATTTATGTTAATGAATAAAGAAATTTTAAGACGAACAACTTCACTAACACAGGTTGTATACATTTTTAAAGTTTGATAGTTTTATTGATAATTATTTAATTTTAAAGAGTTATTAGTTTTTTTATATCATAACTTTATATCAATAAATATCGACAAAGAATTCTGTATTATAAGTTTAAAAATTCTTTTGATGTCCTTTTCCTACATAGAACCATTTTGGGAGATAGGATCCCATATAAAAATTTAATTTTAAGTTTCTATAGATCCTATATATTTATTTAGCAACATACATTTTCGTAAATAAGAAGATATCATACAAATATTTCAAAACATATGTTATAAAATTGGTTTATTAACATTTTATACACAATCATATGAGAGGGCATATTTGATATAGAAATGCTTGTATAAAATTCACGGGACGTACGATTTATGGCACCGCTTTGAAATAATGATTCAATTTTAACATGTTATTGTAGATATTTAAGTGAAAGGCAGTTGTTAGAAATGCAGTAAGCTCATATGATGTAAAAGAAAAGAGTTTATTTGCATTATGTTGAAACTAGTATAAAAGTTTTTGGGTCCATTTGTGCATTTTATATGTCGAACATTAACTAAAATGACCCTTTAATGGTTACAACTAACTAAAATAAAATGAAAATATTAGTTCACGATTTCAATTATGAGGTATTTGTCATGAAAAAAACAGAAGAAGGTTGCAAAATCGTAAAATTTTAATCCAAAGTGGTAAAAACAAAACGGAGCAAGGATTATCCGTATGTGTAGGTCAGAACAGGAGGGTACCTTATACCTTATTTTACCTTATGAGGTAACCTTTAAAGTCAGGATTACAGCCTTACATTTTAAATATTTTATATATGTATATGTTTAATACATTGAAAACTTTAATCAAATTAAAATTACAGTTAAAGGATTAAAATCAACAATCCATGAGTTTATAGTAAATTGATTGATTAAATGAATTTAAGTTCTAACTGAAAACTAAAGGTTAAATATAGTTATTCGAATTCAATTTTTGACCTCGAAATTAGTACAAAATTTCTGAAAATCGGTTTCACTTCGTTTCTATCTGTAAAACGTTTCTATCTCTTTTACGAAATACACTTACCTAAAGAAAAACATGTGAGACTAATATGTATAATAATATTTTATATAAAATCTCAAAACAACCAGACTAAACCTAAGTTAAGTTTACGAGTACATCTATCCTCGGTGTAGACGCAACTTATCCCTTAGGCTTACATTACTTAAATTAAAATTTTCGAAGTGGCAAACACTGATTCCTTTCAATAAAGATCCAGGGTGAATATAAAAGCTTCGTAATAGCCCCGAAGGGTGTTTAATGCCGCTTCTACTATCTGTAATGGGCCATGTGCACTTTATTGCCGAAAATTGCATAACCCTGATATATATTTAATCTCTTTTTAGTTCTAACATCAGACCACTAAATATTCATGGGCATCGTTCACACAAAGCATTAACTTTAAGTAACAGTTAATAAATTTAATTTCTTTTGTTAGGAATCAAATCAGTAGGATAGCTCCTAAAAGTGTTGTTAGCTATCCCATACCTTCTACGACAATGGTTATGATGATTAAATGAAATTAAGCAAAACCTGAAAATCCATACAGTACCCTTACAAGCGATTAAATTCACTAACAATTACGAAGGATCTCGGTTCGTTCACATATCATTAACTTTTCACGCGGCGACGCTTTCAAATAAGTTTTAAATCTGTTAATAATCCTTATCATTTTTAACGAAAATTTGGTTCATAAAGTATAGTATGGACAATTCTTGAGAACCCTTTACAATGTTTAAACACAATCAGTATATGTTGTCAGTTGTTAGTATTTTCATACCATGATCACAACACAGCTCGTTTATTTAGGGAAGCTGGCGCTGTACCAACGTCTCTGTATATCACTGTTATGTATTGGCTTAATATTTTACAGCCTTTGAAATTCTTAGTAGCGGTTAAACCTTATGAGGAATATTTTGAAATAGTTCATTTATATAAAGTTTTAATTTGGTATTCTTAAGTTTTATTAATAATATTTTTTCAATGAATTAATTTTTAATGATGTTTATTTTAACCTAAAAATATACTGTTAACTTGGCAAGCAACTTAGATACAAAATTTTCTCGTAAAGTCTTGGCATGACTTGAGATTTACGTCATAACTTAAAATTACTATTGCAACGACAAAATTTATGCTTCAATAGTTTTATTCGGTAACGTTAGTCTAAAGTTAAAATACAAAATATATTAAAAATATACTAAATAAGTCTATCATTTTTGATATTGTATATCTATTATAAATTATGTGTTAATATAGTGACTTATATTTGTTTTTTTTTAAGATTATTTATTGATCAATACTAAATTTAATACACATTTTGAAAGAAACATCAATAATGTAATTAGTTCGTTGGAGCCGATGAAGGCGGGTCTATAAAGATTCATCCTATACTTTGATACTAATTTAGATCTTAATAATCTAGCGAGCGAAATCGGCTGACTTATTTCGCATTTTCCATCATAATATAAATTAAGTGTAATAGAGGACACGGCGCTCAACAATTTATTGACGATAGAAAGCAAACAGTGTTATTATTATCGGAATTTTAGATTTACTAGACGATGCTAGTTGACGGAGAAAAAAATAAAAACAAATTTTATATGACCTCATCCAGAGCCGCTTAAAAGTTATCAAAGTTCCTATATTAATCTCCTTCGTTGTTGCTCATCTTAGATCAAATATTTTTAGCTGGATGGACGATGGACAAGTCCCTTTTAATTATCCACATTCCGGGAGGACAAATTGTCCGTTGGCTTTCAGTCCGGATATTAATTTCGATACATTGTCCCCACCCGGCTCTGAAATGACAGCCATTATTTTCGGCCCACAAGACTCGATTTAAGCGCTTCTATCAACGACTTAAATTTATAATGATTGTAATACGGAAAACAATGTTTAAAATATAAAATAAATTTACGGGAAACAACGAAAATAACTTTCTATATTGTTCAGAGGCATCTAAAATTACTGTCTTTACATATATAGAATAACATAATGACTTGATGTTTTTAATGCTCGAACTCGCTTAGATAAAAGTGATCGAAGCATTTTATAGCTAAGTTACAGGCCAATGCAACCTAGAAGAAGATGTTGTTAAAAATGTAGCTTCCTCGATCCCGTTGAGATATGTTTTAGATAAAGATTATTTATACAGTGTCTTATTTTACAAATCCAATTTCCGCGTGAATACACGGGGTGGTTGTAAATAACGCAGACAAAGGTTTGCTAGAATCGCGAATCGTTCAATACATTATGCAGACCACGCTTCGTTGCGCCAATCAATGAGCTCCGTAAATATACTGGGTACATCTAAAACTACTTTTTCAGTTTTAAACATTATTCTCATATATTTTGCACACTATCCGACGTATTTAAAAACTTTCCGAGCGATTAATCTGGCTTAGAAAGTTAATTTCTGCTTTAACAGGGTCGGGATCATGAGCATTGGGTATCGATTTGACTGAATAAAAAGTAAAGAAGCGTTACTTGGTTCAAAATTTAATAATATTATGGCATTTTTTTTTAACTACAATCGTATCTGTTACTAGTTTTCCGTATCATTAGTTTTGAGAAATTGTCACGATAACTTCACAATAAACAGGATGCTTCCCTAATATATAAATACACTGAGATGGCGTCGTATAAAAAAATATGACTGGAGCTGAAGCATGTCGTTATTAGCTATACCGACACGTCAAATAAGCCAGTTCACTCTTATCGTGATAGTCAGAAGGCACTATTTCATGTTACATTGTTCTCGCGTCAGTTTTTTGGTTCGTCTCTTGGGCGGCGTAGAGGAAAAGTCGTGATTTAGAGTCGACAAAAATGTTATTTTTGTTACAGACTGTATGCGTTGTGGCCTTGCGTGACATATTTTTCTAGTGTCGAGGATGACTAATGGGAAGATAAATCACAGCGAAAGTCAGCTTTTCTTTTAAAACTTTTATTTCTATTCTTTGGAATTTTTTCATTGTATAACAAACTTATTTCTTTTTAGAAGTTAGTCTTTCACGCAATGTATAAGATTTCTTTTACCGCTGTAACACTGCCACATATAACACACATTTTGATGGCTATTTAATTTGTTTTATAATATTGTTACCACTTATACTTAAATATAGGGTGGTGATTTGTAATTCATAATATATCCAAAAAATATATTTATGCTGAGTCATGGAACGATAAAGTTTATCATCAGGCAGAATATAAAATGATAAAAGAGGGATTTGTTGTAAGCGTTCATTTCCGCCGGCGTCGGGTTCGTTATATTGGGTTGTGCACCCCTGACGAGACTGCCATTGCCAATCCGACAATGAAACTTCGCGCTAGACAAAGGAAAATTTAACATGTATTTATTAAAACTATAAGGTCAGACGGGAATGAAATTATATTGTTGAGCAAGATTTTTAAATGTAAATAAAAACTCTTTGAATTAAACTCCTGTCATATCTTCTTTTAATTAAGCGTCAAATTCGCGCAATTCATAGTCAATAGAGTCATCATATAAAATAAATATAAGACATTTAAATAATATGTATCGAAACTCTTATCAACGGGGTATGCTCACTGTTTTTTATAGCGTGGGTTCAAAACCTCTAGCTATTTGGGAAACCCACACTAAAGATGGATACGTAACAAGGTTCTTGGACCAAGATATTAAGTCAATGGTATTAGAGATAGGTGGAACAAATGTAAGTACAACCTACATAACTTGTCCAAAAGGCAATCAAGTATTAGGAATAACAATGCCTTTCTTAGTTATGATAGTGAAGAATTTGAAGAAATATTTTTCATTTGAAGTAACTATTCTTGATGAAACTCTTACGCGCAGGCGATTTAGAGTATCCAATTTTCAAAGCAATACGCAGATATTGCCATTGTGCACTGTTATGCCCATTGGTCTTTCCGACGGATGGAATCAAATTCAATTCAATCTAGGAGAATTTACTCGACGTGCATATAAGAAACAATTTGTGGAAGTACAAAAGTTAAAGATTAACGCAAATATTCGTCTTCGAAGAATTTATTTTACTGAGAGACTTATACCGGACGATGAACTACCACCTGAATACAAATTATATTTCCCACTTGCAACTAAAGGTGCAAAAGGAAAGAAAACTGCCCCGGAACCCGTTGCAGGGAAAGAAAATATAAAACCCTCATCATCTCAACATACACAGATAACAGCGCAACCTGAGACTAAAACCGTATCTAAAACTTCTGTACATTCAATTAAAAAAGCGCAATCAATAGAAAAAGCTGTGGCGGGGGGTGCCGAAGAAAACGCCGACAAGAAAGTTGCTGAAGAAAATAAAGATGTAGTAGAAACTCAGGAAAATGAAGAAAACCAAGATAACAAAGAAGCTGAAGAAAAACAAGAAAATGAGGATAATCAAGAAAATGAAGAAAAAGTACAAGAAGAGCCTTCTGGAGAAGAAAAACAAGACGTAACGTCACATGATGAAGAAACAGCCAAAGGCGAAGAAGAAAAACAACAAGTAGAAGAATAGGAAACATGTTATAAGAGTGTTTTTTTTTGTTATGGAACTAGTGACTCTAAAATAATTTAATTTTTAAATTAATTTAATTTAATTAAATATACATTAAATAATTTATTATAATAATGTACATAAGTGCTCTGGTATAATAAATTTATTTTTTGCATTTGTTGCTTTATTTACGTACTGGTCGCTTAAAAAAAATTACTGTAAAAGTGAAATCTGTCATTATTTAGAGCTGTCAAATTAAGCTTTCAATTTATAAAAATTGATTATTTCAAAATGTTTAAAAATACCTATCAAAGCGGATTATTATCAATATTTTATAGCTGTGGTTCTGATCCTTTAGCAATTTGGGATACAGAGGTGCAGAATGGTCACATAAAGCGTCTTACGGATAATGAGGTCAATTCTATAGTTTTGGAAATAGTTAGCACAAATGTTGCAACTACGTATATTTCATGTCCAAAGAAAAATCAAGTTCTTGGAATACGACTTCCATTCCTTGTAATGATTGTAAAAAATTTAAAAAGGTATTTTTCATTTGAAATAACAATATTAGACGACAAAAATATGAGAAGACGATTCAGAATTTCTAATTTCCAATCAACAACAAAGATTAAGCCTTTTTGTACAAGTATGCCAATAGGATTATCTGGCGGTTGGAATCAAATTCAATTTAATTTAGCGGATTTTACAAGGCGAGCTTATGGAAGTCAATTTATAGAAACACTTCGGGTACAAGTTCACGCTAACGCTCGTTTGAGGAGGATCTACTTTAGCGAAAAACTTTACACCGAAGAAGAATTACCTCAGGATTATAAATTATACTTGCCATTGGACAGAAAACAAAGGAAAACTAAGACGGAAAAGAAAGAGGAGAAAGTAGAAACAAAGGCAGCAAAACCCGAGACAGAAGGAGAGCAACCCTCGAAACCTGTTGAGGTACAGAGTAAAGTAAGCGCAATGACGGCTACACCAACAACAACAGAAGCCGGAGATGAAAAATCTGAGGCTGCTGAGCAACCGTCAGAAGTAGTTGAGGAAGTAGCCCCTGAGCAAAAGGAAGAAGAGCAACCAGAAGCACCGCCCGAAGAAGCAGCTGATGAAGCGGCTGAACCAACAGCAGACGAGCTCGAAGAACCAACAGAAGAAGCAGAGGGTTGATGAGGTTTAAATGATTTTATTTTATAAAATATTTTATTTTTGTAAACTGTGTGATCTTTGTTATTATTTGTAACGCTGAGATTTAATTTAATATATATCAGTGTGTAATTAAATATTTGATTGATTATTAGTTTTATATATTAAACAATGGTTTATTTAGATTTTCTTATTTGTATTTTTTTTTTTTATAAAAGAATGAAAAAAGCTATATGTCAATATTAAAGTTAACTTGAAAAAAAATATTATCCCCAAAACCTTAACCTATATACATATAATATAATAATTATTTAACATCGAAATTTTGGTCGTAACGTTACAGTCGGCGCTGATTAAATTCTTCAACCCCGTATTATACGTACCTGAAACAAAAAGATTATGATAAGACACAATATAAAACAAAATATTCGCATGAAATCTTCTATATATATAAAAATGGATTGCTGTTCCTTAGTCTCGCTAAAACTTGAGAACGGCTGAACGGATTTATTTTATCTTAGTCTTGAAATGTTCGTGGAGGTTCAGGGAAGGTATAAAAGGTGAGAAAAATTGATTCATTTTCGGGAAAACCCTAAAAACAGCCCTTTTCTATTTCCCATACAAATGTTTTCTTTGACATTAGATTTGACAACTAACTAATATGTCAATCATTCTGTTCGATTGAAACAGGAAAAACCTGATTATTTATGGCCTCTAGGATGGAACAGAGTTCGCCCGGTCAGCTATACATATATTACTAACTAGAAGACCTGGCGAACTTCGTATCGCCCTATAATCAAGAAATATCTATTACGTTTTTTTATTTATATTTTTAGAGTTTACCTGTAAGCCATAAATCTGCGTGTTTTGAAGTGCGACAGAATGATTGACATATTAGTTGTCAAATCTAATGTCAAAAAAAAACGTTTGTATGGGAAATAGAAAAGGGCTGTTTTTATGGTTTTCCCAGTAGTGAATCAATTTTTTTCAGCTTTTATACCTTCCCTGAACCTCCACGAACATTTCAAAACTAAGATAAGATAAATCCGTTCAGCTGTTCTCGAGTTTTAGCGAGACTAAGGAACAGCAATCCATTTTTATATATATAGAAGATAGAAGATAGAAGAAGAAGATGATGAAATTAACGCGGACGAAGTCGCGGGCAAAAACTAGTTCTATATAAAATGCATTTTCAATCTCAATTTTATTGAATATTTAAAATCACAGGGCAAAAAAATTATAATATTTTCTAAATAATAATACATAGATTCCAAGTATTTTATTATTTAGTATGCATGACAATTTTGCCTGAATATATGAAGTGAATTTCTAAGTAATTAAGTAAAATTCCATTATGTTTAAACATCGTTATTGTCATGATGTACGAGTTATGTGATTATTATGAGAATATAGCGATAAAATTAAACGTCATGTATCTTCTTTCTTTGGTCAACTTCGGACTTTTTTTTTATACTAATATTCTTTATCTGAACCAAACTCGAAAGTATTTCCTAACATAATGAGAAAATTTTAATTGAGTTGGACCGCAATTAAAATTGTTAGTTACGTTTTAATTTAGATGAGCATTTTCGGATAGGAGCATTATTATGATGTTCCCAAAACCGCATATATCTTTTAGCTTATTCCCTGAGCATAAATGTTGGTAATAAGTTACTGTGGCGTGGCGAGTCATAAATCACACAGCAACGTTGGTGCTCTGGCAACGATTAAGATGTGAGAGAACGCTGGTTAACATGCTAAGTTGATAGAGTAATTACAACAACTTCATCATGTTACTTAAGCGTGAATGTCGATTGGGAATAACACAGAATACACAAAATCATACAATCAAAGTGATCCTTATACATCGAATGGTACATTTATTAATAGACAAAGAGACATACTATTCACATTCATTAAATTAATGATTTTTTAAATTAATATAAGAAAATGTTTTAGTGTAATTTATCAATTGTTATTTATCCGCGGTAATCTTATGACATACACCACAATGCTTAACGAACTAAAGCAGGATTTCAGTTCGCAGTACTTGCTTCACGTTTTATTAAACCTTAAGTTTATTATAAATTAAAAGAAATAATTTCTTAACTAGTATAATCAAATACAATTATAAAAATATTAATTAAAACATAATGAGATCTACATCAATAATAATATAAATACACGAAAGAGTAATTTAAATAATTTTCAATAAGAAATAATAAAGTGAAGGAAAAATACATATTCATATTTAATACTTGTGAAAAGTTTCCAATATACGATGAATTCATTTAAATTTAGATTCTTATAAAACAATACAAAAGATTTATAGATTCAATAAAATTTACAATAGTTATATAATGACCACAGTCGGAGATAAAACAATTTGCCGCTAGTGTAACAGGGTCTAGTCAGCTCACGGCGCCTAATTTTTGAAGTTGTAAAATTTACGACAAAGGCGGCATAATCCATCTGAAGTACGGTCCGAGTAGGACGTGCTCAGCCTCACAAATGTAACGTCAGCAGCGGTTGAGTGATAATAATTAAAATATAACTTACAACTATATTAAATTCTCGTATATATCAATTTATACCAGAAACTTAATATCGGTTAATATAAGGTTGCGATATATTTAATAATGTTCACGTATATATTAGTAATGATTTAATTGCTATTACACATCAAAATTATACTTTGATGTCTCTTAACGTAAAACGTTCGTATATTACAATTGATGAAAAGTATAAATATATTTCGTCGCATGAAAGTTATGAACAAACGTCAGAGAATTATGACTAATGACATAGCAGCATGCTTATACAGAAATATTAAGCTTTATTTTATTCATGACGAAAAACACAGTTAAATAATAAACTCTCGGGTTATACATATAAATGACATTGAGGAATAGGGGGTTGTGTTTTGAAGACATTAGAGTTATTCTCATTGCGTCATTATTATATATCACTTGATTCTTTTTAATTTAATATATTAATATATACTTTTTCGTTTTTTTAAATTCTATTTAAAGTTTTTCTACCGACTGTACATCCTTACTTAGCCAAATTAAAGGAGCGGTGTACTTGTGAATGCAGATTCAATTACTTCTGAACTGTGTATAGTGTCTTATCAAGGAAAGCTGGTTAATAAGTATGTTTTAAGCATCCCTGAGCATACACATCTTAACTCATCATCCGCATACGGTTACATTAGATTTAAATAATCACTTACAAGACTACATTCAGTTACAAATAAATTGTTTTATTTAATTCATTAAGGACAAACAATTTGTACGTGGAATATTTTTTAACCGTGATTTATATTTTATTGGAGGTTAGTTACATAAACAACAACTATCTTCACGGTTCATAAAGCGGGTCATTTTTACGTTCAGGTCCCTGCAATATTTTAACCGGAGGCTGTCGTTTCCAGATAACTTGCGTGTCGGTTATTTTCTGATACATTACAGATTTTATAGTCTGAAAATTAAGTGGAAATCTGGATAGGTATAGCGGGGATGACATTTTGTAATTTATTGTTATTTTCGAAACATTCCTTGGACTTTTTTATATGACAATAAAATTGTTGTAATATATAGTAAGTTTGTAGTCTTGAAAACCATTTAAAGTACACTTTGGTTGAGGCAAACAAAACTATAAAAGGGAAACAGGCGGACACTTTTTTCAAACTTTTATATAACCTTAAAATGCTTAAATAATTGAAATGATAATGATCCGACTGAATGTCAGTTAAAAGAACTTTCCGGCTCCGAGTACGCATAGTTAATACGAACTCATGACAAAATGATGGAATATTTTATTAATTCATTTAGCATTCCCTAACGAATTTGAATAATTTATATACGTATATAGGTACATTTTAAATATTCGTGAAGTAAAACGCGTAATACAATTACAATATATAATTGTATTTCACGTTATAAATAATTTATTTACATTAAAATAAAAAGCTTTTATAAGATATAATGCATTTGTTTGGTAATGTTTTCTCTCATAATACTTGACTACAATTCGTAAAAGGTTTAAATTCAATCTAGTTCTATGAGATTAAAATCGATTCAAATTCGATCGAGAATATGAATTTAAATGAACATAAAAATATACGAACAAATTGCGAAAATTGTTTTTGAATTTACGAACACAATTTTTAACAAGAGTCAATATGTGCTGATGTTACAACAAAGACTTTTTTAAAGCATAGATTATTTTTTGTTTCTGTAAACATGCCATTATGCAATTACCGACTGTTTGCTGTCACAATCATCATAATAAAGAAGGTTCTTTACATGACAAACAAGCAATCAGCTAATTGAAAGTATGGAGTAATAGCTGTAGACGATATTGTCACAGACAAACAGCACACACATATCATACACCCATTACACACAATATACAAATGTAAGAGTATTTTTGTTCTCTTTGACGCACTCTATATAAAAATTGTGATGCATAGGCTCCTACTAAAATATTATATAATTTTAAATATAAACTCACTTTATTGTATAATAAATGACTTATTGTATTATAACAAATATAAAAAAACCTTTAACATGATTAATGCCAAGTATTTATCTAATTATACAAACCTTTACACACCAATTATAAAAATGACATACCTACTATCTTAACTTGAAAGAATCAACAATAATCTATAAGGGGAAGCATTTATCAAATTGTATGTATTAAAAAGTGCAGTGTTTTTCGTCAAGCAGTCGTATAATAGAGTGAACCGGAGACAGTAATAAGGCTTGACATGTTTCATATAGAAGCACGCTTCGTTAAATTGTGTTGTTTTAGTTCTACACTTTCTAGAACACGAGCGACGATTAAACGTTGATGTGCTGCTGTTACAGTTTCCTATCTTTTATTTAGATAATTTAATTTAATTTTCCAGTACAGAATATATTGCTGCTCATTGAATTTATGTGTTTGTTACGCTCGCTATGAAACGAGAGTGATACAAAATTAATCTAAAATTTATGTTTAAAATTTCATAGTGTTTA